AATCCGCGCAAGACCCTGCTTGCATGTCGCCGACAAAGCGTCCTTGCCACTGCAGCAAATTTGGCAGTTTGGATCGGATCATCATCACACCTCCTCAAGCGGGGAAAGGTTTTGGCGGAGAATTGGTGGAAAAGGACAAAGTAATACAAAGTGCCGCCCGCCGCCGTTCCGGTCCGCTTGATTTGCTTGCTTTGCTTGCTTTTTCCAACTCGGTTACTGCGGCGCCTACTAGTCAACTACTAAGCTACGAAGCTACTACCTAAACTACAAGTCGACTATTTTTTTTGTCCCCCCCCCTTTTTTCTTTGTTCGCTTCTTTTAATTGTTCTTGCCCATTATCCTCTTCTTCTTAGCTTGACCATACCATTCATATCCGCTTCCTTTGAGCTTGTACGGTGATCATGAAGCGCATCTTTAACTCTATCAGCAAGCGGTCTAGTGAGTACTTGTTCCCCAGGCGCGCGACCATGCCAACCTCGGTTACTGATGCGATGCCGTCTGACAGGTCCGACGCGCCCCAGTCTTGGAACAACTACAGCTTATCCAGATGACTCGCCTGAGGGGATCATTCTGCGAGAAGTGGTTGGTTAAATCCTTGGCTCTCCTTCAAAAGCGCAGTAAGCTAATAGAATGTCTTGCTTGATTTTCAGACCGCATTTTGCGAAGAAGGTGCGAACAGTGTTGTACGTCTTTCTTTTCCTGCGTCTCTCGATCGCGACATCGTAACGCCCGCGTTCCCCACCTGCGACTGAAGCACTCATACCGTGTGTCCAGGGAAATGAGTACGTCCATCTGCCGGGCATCGTCGAAAACGCCGAGTCGAGCCCCAACGCAGCTCGCGAAGCCGGATTGCTGATCCGCAAGATCCTGTCGGAACCTTCGAAGCAACCCACTCATGTGCAGTACAATGCCATCATGCTGATTCGCATCCTCGCCGATAATCCGGGCCATACATTTTCGCGCAACATCGACGCCAAGTTTGTTGCTACGATCAAGGACCTCTACAAACAGGGCAGGGATCACCGCGTTCACGGCTTTCTGAGAGAGACCCTGGATGCTTTGGAGTTGCAGCGGTCGTGGGATGAAGATCTCAAGCTTCTTTTGCAGATGTGGAGCGCCGAGAAGGCTAAAAGCAACAGCCGACCTAACGGGTTGCGTGTAAGTATATGTGCCATCGCGTTTTGTGGCTTTGGCAATGCTGACGGAAGGAACGGCGATAGGCTAGCCGGAGTTCATCGCAAGTGCGGGCGCCTCTACTGAGTCAGAACCACTTTGCTCCTCCAAGACAACAGAACACGCTCCCACAGCCTGAGGAGCTTGCTGAGCGCATTTCCGAAGCAAAGACTTCGGCGAAATTGCTCACGCAGTTTGTCCAATCCACCCCTCTCGCAGAGTTGCTCGAGAATGATCTCATCACTGAATTCTCCGACCGATGTCGCACGGCGTCTCGCGTGATTCAGAACTATATCCATGCGACGAACCCAGCGCCCGATGAGGATACGTTGTTGACACTGATTCAAACCAACGACGAACTCACTGTGGCTCTGTCAAATCATCAGCATGCCCTGCTTCGGGCGCGTAGATCGCAGGGCCCAAGCGGTAGCCAGTCTCCGGCAACATCATCCAACAACGAGACTGTAGCGTCTGGTGCTGTGCAACCACACGCAGCACCTCCAGTGCCACCCAGAGAGCCGCAACGTACCTTCTTGCCATCTTCTGCCTCGGAACCAGTGATGCCGGGCCCTTCGGGGTCGTCTAGCAACAACGGCGGTTGGAACGACCAACGGTCGGGAGGTAGCGAGGACCAAGACCCGTTCGCAGATCGCCACACCACTACCACCGCCGGCCCTTCAACGTATGGTGAGCCGAGGTTGGACGGGCCGAGCAGCGACTGGTGGAAGGAAGCACAACAGCGGCCAGGCCAGCATTCTTAACCCCCCCCCCCTTTCCTTTCATTCCTTGTATGTTTTTTATGATGTAGCGATACCTCGACATGATACCTCTCTGCAGAACAGTGTTAGATTGAGCCTACTATTCTTATCGTCTTTCCTATTATTCTACTATTGGTGTGTGGTAGGTCGTATTACGCTGGCCCTGAACCTGACTGGGGCAGCCGCCATGGATTGGAATCTGGCTCGGATATTGCAATGCTCGTCCCGAATAGATGAACCAGCTGCATCCCAAACCTCGGTCTGGGCAGGGGTGAAAATGCTTGATGGACTTTTCCTGGCTAACGGCGGTCTTAGCTCGAACCGGAAGCGCCATCCGCCGTCATCGGGCTGAAAAAAAAAATCCCTGTCTAGAGAACGGGGAGGGGGAAGGCAGAGGCAAAGCAAGGCCAGGAAATTTAGGAGTGCCCGCTAGAGAGAAGAGCGTGTAGCATGAGAATCGATGTCTGGCTGGGCAAGGCGCGGAATTAATGTAGGTGAAACCCTAACTGTGCCAAGCATCCCGAGTTCACTGCTCATAAGACGCAGCTCCACCGCTGTTTCACGCCCATCTACGTGAAACCACTCGGCGCTTGGGACCATACCGATCTGGTACGTGCGACCGCTGCAGGCCCTTCGCTCTATGTCTCTATGGCCACTGATGTGCCTCGATCAGTGACCTGTCAATCTATCGTGCCATGTCCCGGTGGAGAGGCACCCTGTCATTATTTCTTCAAGGGTTTAGATGGTTCTGTCTAGACGCAAGAACCGTTTCACGGTCGACCTCCGAATGAAGCTGCTCCAGTTGGTCCAGGCACCGTTTTCTTGGTATATAGGATGGCGAACTTCGCTGTTTCTGCCCGAGAACTTTTCATCTTTCTCTCTACACGCAGGCTTGTCTGTTCATTTCGTCCTTCTCTTCGACATTCTTTTTTCTCCTTCCGGTCTGTGACCATCTCATTCTTTAAACCTTCCACTCTTTGAAACAACAGGTATACTGGTATACCCGAATCCTTCACTACATTCTTTCTGTCTACCAAATCAACTTCCATCAAAATGAAGCAAACCGGCTCTATCCTCGCCCTCGCTGGACTTGTGTCCATGGCCAACGCCCACGGTTTCGTGACCAGCCCCCAGCCCCGTATGCCCGGATCTGCCATGGAGAAGGCTTGCGGTCAGCAGGTGTACAACAACCAGGAGGCCGACAACTACGGCAACATCCAGGGTGAGTTGCAGATCACCAACGGCCAGAGCGACTACGACGCCGAGGCTTGCGATATCTGGCTCTGCAAGGGTTACAAGTACGCCGACAACACGGCCAACGTCCAGTCCTACAAGCCCGGTGAGGTCATCGACTTCAAGGTCGACATCCGCGCTCCTCACACCGGTACTGCCAACGTCTCCGTTGTCGACACTGCCACCAACACCATGCTCAGCCAGCCCCTGATCTACTGGAGCGTGTACGCCTCCACCGCTACCGGTGTGACCGCCAACGAGACCAGCTTCAGCGTCACCATGCCCACTGACCTCGGTGACAAGTGTAACGAGGCCGGTGCTTGTGTTCTTCAGTGGTGGTGGGATGCCCGCTCCATTGACCAGACCTACGAGTCCTGCGTTGATTTCACCCTGAGCGGTTCTTCTTCTTCCTCTTCCTCTTCTTCTTCTTCTTCCTCCTCTTCCTCCGCTGCTGCGGCTGTCGCCACCAGCGCTGCTTCCAGCTCTACTTCCAGCGCTGCTGAGACCACCACTGCTGCCAGCGCCGCTGTCACCTCCCCCGCGGCTGCCAACAACATTGCTCCCGTTTCCTCCTCCGGCCCCACCACCCTGGCCACCAGCGTGAAGCAGACTGCTACTGCCGCTGCTGTCTCCAGCTCCACCGCCACCAGCGTCTCCCTGCCCACCGACGGTACCGCCGAGGAGCAGCTCACCTGGGTTGCCAGCGTCTTCAAGGCCCTTCTCAACTACGCCAACTAAGTTGGGGCCGAAGATGAGGTGGACGTACGTTGCACTGTACAGGCATGTGCTAGGATAGAGGTAGATGGCAACTAGATTGCCTGCCTTTTATTAGATCTTCTTTGTTAAGATTAGTCACTTCAAAATTCTATTCATTTTCTCAAGACAGTCTTGAAGTAGCTCTGATAAGTAGCATATAGCTTTCATCCACTGCAAGTACCGATTGATTTTGATGACTTAGTGTTATAGGACTAGCCTAGCGGTCATCAAGTCGAATTTCAAGTTATATGCCCAGGCCTCTTGAGCCTTTGACCCAAGCCCATCTCACTGGTCTTGCAAGCAAGCAAGTCGGAGTCGCTTGAAGCCTCTTTCTTAGATTGGACAATTCTCTTTGGCCACTGCAAACGGTTCTGAAAAAGACATACTGTCCTACCATGAGTATAGAGAGATGTACAGTATGGAGACCCAGGTCCTGGCTGTCCGTACGCCCAGGCGTGCTCTATGAAAGAGTCTGCGTGTACGTGCCAGGTGAATATCAATACCTTCCCCCCGCCTCCCCCCACCTCTCCCCGCCGCAGACATTCACTTACGAGCTTCGACATACTTACATTCTATGTGGATCTGTGTGGACTCGTGTGAATGTAGACCTCTGAGGTGTGAATGATATGAAATACTGACTCATTCTGTTCCTTGCTTGGATACTTATTTCATCTCTCTCTCTCTCTCTCTCTCTCTCTCTCTCTCTCTCTCTGTCTCTCTCTTGTTTATCTTTCCTCCCCTTCTTCCTCTTGTTCATCCTCCCTCTTTCTCCCTGTTCTTCAGCTCGTTGGCTACAACTGTTCGTTGAGGGATCCTGTGTTGGTATTCTGGTACAGATCCATCGTGTCTTTGAAGGCTTACACTCACAATCTTGATTCGTTCGTTGAAATCAAGCTTACAGACAAGACCTCAATCTGTCTCTCAAGACGTATCACAAGAACCCAAAACACACAACCAAGACCTCTATCACTCTGTCTCAAAAGATATCATATCACAGGAAAACAAGTAAGCCGACACCCCTCACTGGCTTGATCTTCTCAGTTCAACAGTTCAACACCATAACTAAACTCACCAAGCAGGATGACTACACCCCAGCAGCCAGCCCCGCTCCCTCAGGGCAATCCACCCCCCCGTCACTCTTCACTCCGTCCCCGACCTCTCGCTTCTCGGCGCGATGCGAGCCAGCAGACCAGCCCTGACCATACACCGTAAGTGAGCATTTGAATTCTTCGGTAACTGCACTCTCTCTGATACGTGACGCGCTCCAGTGCCCCGAAGAGAGCCCGTCCCAACACTCCGGCCAACGCGAGCGGTGCAGCATCCAGCAGCCGCGCGAACATGAGCGGGCAGCGTGTTGCTAATACTGGGGCTGGTGCTAGTAGCCAGGCGGGCGGCGGTAGACAGCAGGCTGGTGTTAATCAGGCCCGGGTTAGTCCGGCCGGTGTTAACCAGGCGAGTGCCAACCAGGCCAGTACCAACCAGGCGAATGGCAATCATGCGAATGCCAGCCGGGCGACTGTCAACCCAGCGAGTGCCGCCCAGGCGAATGCTAACCAGGCGGATGTCAACCACGCGAATGCTAACCACGCGAATGGCAACCACGCGAATGCTAGCCACACGAATGCCCACCAGGCGAATGGCAACCCAGCGGGTGCCGCCCAGCCAGGTATCAACCAGGCCGGTGGATTCGGAGCCAACCAAGGGCATCCTCTCCCCCCAAGTTTCTACCATTTGTTCCCGTCTTGGGCCGAGCAATACAACCGTTGCAACATCGCGATCTTCCACGTTGGCTCGCCCCCTTTAATCTTCCACGTGGACGTCGACACCCTCCTCGTCCGCAGTCCCAACTTCCATAGATTCTGCATGGTCGAGTGCGCCGAGCGCGGCGAGCAGCACAAGCCCCCCATTATCCGCTTCCCCGACCTCTGCCCCACCACCTTCACTGCCTTCCTCAAATGGATGGGCAACGGCGATCCTTTCGGCGGTCACTCCCTGCCCAATCTCACGCCCTTCTTCAGCATCTGGCGCTTCTCGGAGAGGTTCCAGTGCTTCCTGCTGCAGTCTGACCTGTTGGCGTACTTGCAGCGCTGGCTGGGGAGCCACCGCGGCCTCTTCGGGGTCCCCGTCATCAGGCTCGTCTACACCATGTTTGACCGGGATTCGCACATGCGCAAGATGGTGGTCGAGGTCAATGCGTGGCGCTCGGGGCTGGCGGACTTCCAGAGCACCAAGGCTGACGTCCCGCGAGAGTACATCGAGGATCTGGCCGAGGCGCTCTTGGCCGTCCGCAGAACTGATCCGCTCACTGGACTGCCCGGGGACTTCGTTGCGCGCTACATGCCGATGGAGGAGGAGAAAGTGCCGGATTCGGATTTGGAGTAGGGTGTTCAAGTCACGAGTCCGCGGGGTTCCTCTGCCGTCGTTGTTGTTGCTGTTGCTGATGAGGCTGGTGGTGGGTTCGGTTTGCTTGCTTCGAGATGAAACTCTTCGCGGCGGTAAGCTTGGGTGAGTAGCTTCTGCGCAGAACCTCAATCCCTCAGATTGTCTTCTACACTGCTGTTGTGTGATTTCGTGAAATTGCCTTGTTATTCGGGATATGGATGAAAACTGGAATGCCTCTCCAAATATCTTAAAAATTGTGTTAACTCGGGAGATTGACTTTTCTGTACTCAGCTTGTGATATTATGAATCTAAGTTGAACTGATACCGGCCTTAGTACTGCCTGCCTAGTTAAATGTAGAGCAGATACATGTCATGGAGATGGATAAGGAGTATAGGTAGGTACGGGCTATTCACTTACACTTCCCAAAGGGGAAGATGCACTGCCCCTGACAGCTGACTCAGGGTCTGCATCCACTAGCCCGAATAGGCCAAGTGCCCATGTCTGATAAGAAGATCAAGCCGATTGATAACTTTCTCCTCCTCCTCCTCCTCTTCTGCAACCCCCTTGACCCCAACCACAACCACTAAGAAAATGGAGGAAACGCATCGACACGGTGCCTCGGTGCCCCTCACTCATCTCCCTCCTCACTCCCACATCTCTCACGATACCTCAATCGCCTACAATGCCGCCACGACCACCGCCCTGGAGCCATCCGCGCCGCACCGCCGCATCAGCATCGGCAGCGACGAGGAAAGCCAGCCGCCCCCGCGCTACACGCTGGAGAACGACCCGTTCCAACTGGCCTCCAAACTGAAAACCCCGGAGGAGATCGATCAGATCCAACCGCAAGCCAACATGGCCCGCAAGCGCGATTCCGTCCAGCAGCGGACCTCCTGCCTCCCCTCGGCCAGCCTTGGCGGCGGCGGCGGCGGCGTCCAGCGCGCGCTGGCCTCCCGCCAACTGCAGGGGTTCTACCAGACGCAGAACGAGAACATCGAGCGCATGCTCAAGCCGGTGGAGGAGCACGTGCGGGACGCGCGCGAGACGAACAGCAGCAACCAGCTGAAATACAAGATCGCGGTGTACGGCAGCTTCGCGGCGAACGTGATCCTGTGCGTGCTGCAGCTGTACGGGGCGATCTCGTCGGCGTCGCTCTCGCTATTCACGACGATGGCGGACGCGATCTTCGACCCGATGTCCAATCTGACCCTGCTGCTGTCGAACAAGGCCGTCAACCGCGTCGACGCCCGCAAGTTCCCCGCCGGCAAGGCCCGCATCGAGACCGCCGGCAACATCTGCTTCTGCTTCCTCATGTCGGCCGTCTCCTTCATCCTCATCGCCTTCTCCGTGCGCGAGCTCGCCGAGGGCTCCGAGAGCGAGACCGGCTCCTTCCACCTGCCGTCCGTCGTCGCCGTCATCGTCGCCTTCTGCACCAAGTTCGCCCTCTTCCTGTACTGCTTCGCCCTCAAGGACCAGTACTCGCAGGTCCGCATCCTGTGGGAGGACCACCGCAACGACCTGTTCATCAACGGCTTCGGGATCCTGACTTCCGTCGGCGGCAGTAAGCTGCGCTGGTGGATCGATCCCGCCGGCGCGATCCTGCTGTCCGTGCTCGTGGCCGCGCTGTGGCTGCATACCGCCTACCATGAGTTCCAGCTCTTGATCGGCGTCACGGCTGATACCAAAATGCAGCAGCTGATCACTTATATCTGTGAGTTTCTCTGTATTCCCTTGTTTTGTTGGATCGGGAACTGCATTCCGGTAGTCAGTATCTCTCTCTGGTGTCGGTTCTAACAAATCCCCGCCAAAGCAATGACCCACTCCCCCCTCATCACCGCCATCGACACCGTCCGCGCCTACACCTCCGGCCCCCGCTTGGTCGTCGAGGTCGACATCGTCATGGACCCCGACGACTCCCTGCGTGCCACCCACGACGTCGCCGAGGAGCTGCAGACCAAACTCGAGTCCCTGCCGGACGTGGAGCGCGCCTACGTCCACGTGGACTACGAGACCACGCACAAGCCGGAGCATTTCTTGAAGAAGGAGCTTTAGGCTTGGTACCGTTCCAGCGGTGATCGGAATTGAATATACGCGTTTGACGAAGCACGTCTCGTTGATAGGGTAGGAGGATCCATGCATTGGTACGATGCTACACTAGGCGTCGCGGGTGGTATACTGTATATGTGGTGCCTATCACATTTTCCTCATAAAAATAGCTTAATATAGAATTTGACCACAATCCAAACTCAACTTATTCATTCAGCAAGGAGCATCATCTATAGCCCAGGACAAATAATCGCCAAAAAGACTGACACAAATTCCCAAAACATGAAAGCCACTTTTAAGTAAGGCACAGCCCAGAAAACTCCCATTATACATACACAATTGTCGTTCATGATCATGTCTCATCATCATCATTGTCATAAAAGCCAAGCCAACCCACCAACCAGATCAGCTCCTCCGGGCGGTGCCCCGCGTGGAGATGGGCAACAGACTCCCCGCGAAGTCCGTATCGAGACTCTTCCGTATCGACCGGTTCCCACTCAGGATCTTCTCGAACTCGTATCCCGTCGGGCGGATGCCATCTTGTTCGTCTCTCATGGGTTTTCCTGGTACTGCAACAGCAGCACCCCCGCCACCGCGCAAACGACTCCTCTTGCTCCCGCTTTGCAGCGCCATCCACCGCCGCGACCGTCGGATCCCCTCCTGACAGGCGTCGCCGATATCATCCAGCAGGAGGGCCAGGATGATCAGCGGGATGGAGATGGCGAAGCCGATGCCGAAGGTATACTTGGCCACGTAGGAGAGATGCAGCTGGCCGGTGCTGTCGCTGCCGCCGCCGCTGCCGCCGCCGCCGCCGCCAGTGCCGGACGCTCCGCCGAATTCGGCCAGGTTGATGGTGAAGATGGAGGTGATGAAGGACAAGGGCAGGAAGACAATGGTGACGATGGTGAAGACCATCATGATCTTGCCCTGGCGGGTGGTGCCGGCGGCCTGGTCGCGGGCGAAGCGGGCCTCGAAGGCGTTGGCGTGTTTCTGCTTGAGGTCGAGCAGGTCCGTGATGGAGGAGTAGATGCGCTCGGCCTGTTTGTCCATGCGGTCGATGTCCTTCAGGTGCATGTCGATCGTGCGCTGCTGCTCCTTGAACCGCTTCTTGATCTCGGACTGCGACCGGTGCTGGCCCGTGTAGATCTCGCAGATCGCCTCCTGGAAGTCCAGCAGCACGTGCTGCTGGTGCTGCAGCACCGTGCGGATCATGTTGAGCTCGTCGCGGATGTCCTTGGCCTCGGAGAGGAGATCCGTCTCCTGGCCGATGTCTAGGAGGTTGTCCACGAACAGGGGCTGTTCGTCTTCTTCGTGCTCGTCTTCCGTGTCGGCTTCGCAGTACTCATCGCGTGCGGCATCGGTGGGGTTGTTACCGCGGCGCTCTCCAGCGGTAGCCGCGTCACGATCCTTGCTGGGCGGCGGCGGCGGCCGAGCAAACCGGCTGAGCTTGCGGTGGTTCTTGAGCCAGTCGGACGCCTGTGCGGAGTCCCGGTTGAACTGGTTGAAGAGGACCGTCTCGCGGTCTGTGGCAACACCGATTGATGCCTCGAACATGTCCAAAAACTGGTACTCTTCGTCGCCCATGCGATGCCGATCAAACACCCCCGAGCAGCGGGTGGTGATGATGATGGCCAGATCGTAGACGGACTTGACGGGCTCCCTGGTCTTGGAGTTGATGTCTTCGATGATCCCGTCGAGGACGTTGAGCGGGTCGTTCTTGGGCTGCTCCCACCGCTCGGGGAAGCTGGTCACGATCAACCCGGTTCCAAGGATCCACATCCAAAGTTGATCGACCATGAAGATCTTGGGTTCCGACAGGAACCGCTCGCGGCCCTGGCCTTTGGTCTGGTACCGGTAGACGACCTGGTCTTGGTCTCGTGTCAGCGTGTCGATGTTGGGGTAGAAGAACTGATCCAGCGTGCGTCGGATGTGAAGCGACGTGGTCGACGATGCTAAATGCGCGCTGATCAAGAGCTCATCCCGCGTAGGTGTCCGGGTGAGGCTGGGCCGCGCGAGACACCGCGTCTCAGCTCGCTGGATGGCATCTTGCATCTTCTGACGTCTCTCGGTCGTTTCGAAATGGAGATACGGCATGAACATGCACACATTGCACGCGTTGGAGCGTGCTGAGTCTTTGCACAGAGAAAGAACAGGCCGATTCTTATCGTTCCGATCGATACCGTGGTTGTGTTTAGACTCATGCTTATACTGTGCTCCCCCAGCCTTGCCACGCTTGGTCGCACCCTTCCCCTTCTTCGCCGGGTTGTCAGAAATTGAGTCGGTAGGTTCAGTCTTGCTTCCGTGCTCTCTCAATTTACGGCCTCTAGGCATGTTACCTTCTTTCGGAGTGCTCGGGGCCTCATGAGACTGGCCGTTGATGAGAATCTGAGGGGGCAGTTCAACCGTCTTCTCCTCGGAACTGTCGTCCTCTTGAAACCGTGGCGCACGAGGAGTGCTCTGGCATAGAGGACGCATAAAGTGCGAGTGTATCCGTTGTCCTCGATGTTGGTAGCGGAAGGATTTCTCCAGCCCCTTGAAGCTCTCCACATCGTGCGCCCCTTCTTCGATGAATGACTTGGTAAGAAGAGCCTCGACCCATGTCAAATTATTCGCCGGAAGATGAATCCAACGAAAGTCAGTCGCCCGACTATCCGCCGGTAGGGTGCTAAATGCCTGTTTGCGTGGGTTCTCGGGATCGCGACCGTAGAGAAGATTGAAGACCGACGTCTTCTTGACCCGATTTTCGTTGTGGAAGTTACCGAAATCGACCACGGTAGCCTCGAATGCTTCACATGCGCCTTTCGCCTCCGCAGACAGAGCCTCGACGGTGTTGAACGGGGCAAGGAGAGATACTATGTCTCTCCGCTTGAATTGGGCTGCCCGCAGGAATGGTGTGCTGCCGAAGTTGTCCCGAATTCTCTGCTTTAACCCCTTCTGCTCCAGCAGGCACTCT